ATGCAAGTCCAATGAAGAGCTTGAAACGGTAAAAAGGAAGCAGCCAGAGGTAAAAAAAAAAAGATAAAAGAACAAAACACAAGTCCAAGCTCTGCCAAAACTACCTCAGGAAACAAGCTTGGTAAAGTTTAACAACCTGGAGTGTCCAGCAGCAGCACAGTGTCCAGACTTAAAGCCCATGGAGCTGGTTTGGGATGAACTGGACAGAAGAGTGAAGCAACCTACAAGTGCCACACATTTATGGAAACTTCTGCAACAGACTTGGGAAGAACTTTCTGAACAATATTTGATTTCTGTTGTAAAAAGAACGAGCCACGAGTGTGTTCAGCTGTTCTATCTGCCAAAAGTGAACACTTTCATCAATCAAAAGTTTAGAATATGTTCTGGTCAACAGTTAAGAGCAAAAAACTGGAAAAAGTGTGGTGTTCTAAAACTTTTGAGCAGTAGTGTATTTTTAGGATTAAGGTTAAGGTCCTTAGGCAAGACACTTCACCCACACTCCCTGGTATCAAAGTGGTGTGTGCGTGAGTGTTGGCAGTGGTTGAAGGGAGTGATGGTGCAGATTGGTAGTCTGTCCCAGGGCAGCTGTGGCTACAGTAGGAGCTCAGCACTGTTGAATGTTTAGTTTAGAAAAAAATGGTTAATTCATTTGTTATTACATGTCAATGTTTAAAAGTCTATATTTGTTATTTAAAACCAGAAAAGGATTATTCTCCATAGCACCAAATATTTGACCCATAGATGGCGCTGGTTCTTTGTATTCCAAAGGATGTTGTTTTTTGAAACCCTCAGCTGATGAAGACTGCGCTATCAGTTATAAAACAGTTATAAAACATGTGAGATCGAATGTAGTAGTTGTAACAGAAATATGATTTGACAGTGAGTGTGTTTACATGCACATCAGTTTCCCAGTTATGATCGGGTTTTTTGAGTATCCTGTTTTTTTCCTGGTGCATGTAAACGCAGTATCCCAGTTATGGCAGTATCCCGGTTATGAGAAACCAGGATACTGTTGCTGGTATATTCCGATAGTAACCAGGATACTGTGGCATGTATACGCAGTATCCCAGTTACTGCAACATAAAGTTGAGTGCGCATACGTCCAAAAGACAAACACTTTCCAATCTTTTCACCACAACAGTAGCGACGTGGATAAAGTGACCAACATAAATAAAGTGACCGTACATGAATGAAATGAGTGTAAAATTAAGAGCTGCGCTAAATCTGCACATATACAATCTGCACTCGTATGATCACTGAAAAGCTAAAACATAAACTATCTCTTATATGATGTATGAACAGAACAGACTCACCATCATTAGCACCTCCTCTGTCACGAAAAGAACTCACATATTCCACTGAGTTGTGTCCTTTAGTCCAACAGAAGCTGATCACATCAGCAGCACAAGGAGCGAGCTGTTTTTATCACCGCTAACAGTTTATGCAAATTAACCATGTGGTTTTAAGTTTTGCTTCTGTAAATTGTAAACAAATGTGTCAAAGCTGAATGATCTGATCAAACAGGCTGATGCTGTTCTACAGTGGTTCTGGTTTATATGTTGTAAAGTTGAGTTTATTTATGCAGAATATTTGAATGAAGAATCTGTTGGGTTTGATGTGTGCAGTGGATTGTGGGAGATCTCACAGCTCTTTACCGCTGGTTAAACGTCCCGAGCCTCTGACGCTAAAGGAGCTCATATTTGTTTGTATTTTTCCTGGTTTATTAAATTGATTTAAGTTCATTATTTGCGCTTGTGCATTTGTAAAATTATGTCAAGAAACCAGGATACTCCATATGATCATGTCACAGGGACATGAGTGTCTCAGTTTCTCAGTGCGCATGTAAACACAGTATCCTGAATACTGACATAACCGGGATACGGATAATAACCGGGATACTGATGTGCATGTAAACACACTCATTGGCAACATTTTTGCAGTAAAGCCATTTTTTAACTGAGGTTATCGCTCAGACTTTTGTTTTCATTGTAGTTGTAGCCGAATCCACAACAAGCACAGCCGAGTCTGGAGTGAAAGAATAAAGCACAAAAATGTAAAGAGACTTTGCACGTGTGGAAAAGCGTTGTATAAGACTATTGCATTATTGTGTGTTTGTAGGGCGCGTGACATCGCTGTAAGATTTATGTTCTCTTTTTATTAATTGTAATCACAAACATAAACCAACAAGTCTCTTCAAACCTAATGACTCTGCTAGTTTCCATAACGAGCTCTGCAGAACAATGCAAATATTGACATTGGAGTGGGACAGAGACGGTCCCTCACGTGGCTCACAGCGGACGCTCCGGGGTCGGGCCCCTCCATTAGCGTCATTAGTGCTCCAGCGGGGGGCGCCGTGATGAGGTCCGGGCTCCGTGATAGCACAGAGCAGCGGGAGTGTGCACTTCCCCCTCCCGCCCCGCCCAGACGGTGAGCCCGGAGCAGAGAGGGGGAGGGGGAGGGGCCCGTCCTGGCACCTTCCTCTGGCATCCTCACGGCGCACATGGGCCCCGCGTCAGATGGTACACGGCTTTAACAGCGCCGCTCAAATGTGGAACAGACAGCAAATAAATTACAAATGCAGATGTAATGGGACAATGGAGTGGACCAGTGAGGGGAGCGCTGATGGAGTGGCTCAGTATTTGCCCAACGACCAGTGGGTGGCCAGTTCTAACCTTGCAGCAGAGCAGGTTGCCAAGAAATCTTTTGGCAAACGAGAAATAGACCAAATGAGAAGTCAGGATGAGGGCTGCCCGTATAATACTTCCTCAATACTTTACAAAGATGTGAGCCTGGAGTTTATTTTTTGTTAGTTTTATTTCGTTTTTTGTGCGACTGTAGCTGTACAATGTTTGTCCACTGATCTGAAAGTTGGAACTTCAAACCATCTCACAACCTAAACATCCTCGGTATAGCGTTCAGATTCACTGACCCACAGGTTGGCGTGGGGTTGGTGTGACTCCAGCTCGCACAGGTGATGAATGCTGTTCTTGTGTCCTTGGGCAATGATGTATGAATGTGTGAATGGGTTCCTAGAAGAAAAGTGCTTTGAGAGTCTTGAAGGTAGAAAAGTGCTGTATAAAAATGTGACCGTTCAGGGACACGCACGGTCCGTCCATGTCGAAACAAATATGGCTGGTTACGAAGAAAAAAGAAAGGAAAATATCACCGGCAGCTGAAAAATGTCACAGATTTCTGAAGAATCAATGAGCGAAGCAATAAACTGTTCATCTGATGTGACCAGGCTGCCAGGAAGCTACGAATCTGCGTCTCGCCAAAGAATAACACTTGGATTTTTATTTATTTATTTTTTTTTTAGAAGATTGGGAATGAGGAACACAATTTCAATTCTTAATCTGTTTCATATGAAAATTCACAATAAACTTTTGAATTGAACTGAACTGAACTGGTGGGTGACCAGTGAGCTCCTTTGTTTCACATGCATCACTGAAATTAACTAATCTGATTGGACGATAGCATTTGGTTCTGGCTCTAGACACGAGGGAGGGAGTGGGACCAGACTGATATGACTCTGTATATTAAAAAACAAAAAAACATTCTGGATATGCCAGGCAAAGATGAAAGGACACAGAATCTAAAAAGAAAAAAAAAAAAAAATCCACAATTTTTGGAAAAAAAAAGTAGTATGATACATTATATTAGCCAGGCTGCTGTCACCTAGTGCCTCTGTTCAATTTCATTTCTCTCCAGCGACTAGGTCAGGAATCAGAATACACTAGATGGTTCACAAAAACCCTGGAAGTGCGGGTTTGTGCACCAGCCAATCAGTGAAGAGCGAAACATTCAGTGTTGTCAACAATTCCCGAGATCAAGGATTTAAAGCCGGAACAAAGAGAATGTTTGGTGAATTTTATCAAGGGGAAAGACGTTATTGTCCTTCCTCCTACGCGATTTGGGAAAAGCTTAATATACCAGTTAGTCCCGTTAGCGGAGCATTACATACATCACGACCAAATAGCAGTGATTAGTTAAATGTAGTGATGGGCGAATGGAGCCTCGTGAAGCATTGGCACCTCAGTCGCAATATTGTCTCAGATGGTTCGACGTGTCTGAGACCTCGGAGAAACACTGACCTTTAGTGGACAAATTTAATAAGACAATAGTTGTGTGCAGAGCGTCACCGTACCTAACAACAACAATAATAATGATGATTTAAAATAATACAGAAAAAGCAACATAAATAACATGTTGTAAATAAGAAAACAGGTGTTACCTTGTTAGGTGGAATTAGATCAAAGTGATGCCAAACCATGGATCACTTTTTCCACTTGTAGATGCCATCGAAAATGAAACAAATGCCAAAAGTCGCCAAAATCACCACTAACGTCACACAATACTCCTCACTACCCAACATGTTTAAGAAATATTGGTGCATCTTTTACACTGTAGCAGTTTAGCACTTCGTCAAACCACAGAAGTGCGCTGAACACTCTGAAGCATCTGAACCAATCACAGAGCAGAACATTCGTAGAGCCAATGAAACGCTTCGATACACTGAAGCGATCGACACGCAGAGCGAAGCAGTAGGGGGAGGGACCGACACTTCCACACTTTGGTCACGTGAGCGGCTGCTGCGAGACGAGCTCCGAGGCAGAGCTTCAGAGTGATTTGTTTCAGGAAAGAACGAGACGAGCTCCGGAGCTCCGACTCATTTGCCCATCACTAGTTAAATGATAAAAAGAACCTGTCTATCATCGAGTGAACAAATTCTAATACTGTGAGATCAGACGGTTTCTATAAAGTGAAACGAAGTGAAACCGGCTGATGAATCAGACTAACATTATATTGCTTTGAATCTTTCTTTCTCAAAATTCACCATTGTCCATTGTATATTTTCTCAGCATAGATATGAACATCACATACTGAATCCTGAATACATTTTTCATAGCAGTTGTACTCTGTTTTTATACCACACATAGACTGGACACAGTGTGACTTCCGTCTTCCATCTCCCTCATCTCCATCTCTGTTGTGTGTTTCAGAAGAGCCGTGCGTCCCCTACAGTAAGCCCAGCTTCCCCTCCCCCGGGGCCCATAGCTCCACCGGGACCTCCTCCTCCAAAGGCTCCACGGGACCTCGTAAGAGCGACGGACCCCGGCAGCCGCAGCAGTGGACGGCCCTGGAGCACGCCGACTTCCTGGGGGCCAACGGACAGGGACACTTCTCAGGAGAGTTATGTGAGTATCAGGCTTTGTATCAGCAGTACAACTATGAGAATGTTTAAAGGGCCATATTACTCTATTTTCTGATCTGTGTTCTAATGTAGTTTCCTCATCACAAAGAGACCTGCAGTTGTGTAGTTGTGTTCAAACTCCATACACCTTCACTCGATTCATTTCAGCCGTGGAATTGCTTATGTCTACGAATAAAAAAAAAGCTGTTAACTTGAAAACTACTGCTTCATGACATCACAAGGTGGAGCAGAGCATTTGGAGCTTTGGAGATGTAAACAAACTAATAATAAAGGGTTTCTCAAATGTGTGAATGAAACAAAATACAACTCCAGGTCTGTTTTTGACGAGGTAACAACATTATAAAGTGGCATTTTCAAGGTACAACCTCAAACTTCACAGATGATTTCTAGCTCAGTTTTTGCTGCTTTTTCATCAAATAAGTGACAGTTACCTTTCAAAAGTGTATGTTTCACTGCAAATTGTATCAAATATTTAAATAATGTAGGAATAATCTATCATAACCTGGGAATTGTAGTGTGTGTATTTCTCTACCACCTCTAAAGTGATTTTGACCTGGCTTCAACCAGCACTCTACACTTTCTGTCACACTTATAACCTTGTTGGCCTTAAATGACGGCCAGCCCTTTTAGTGTGTCATGTGTCACTTGAAAAAGGATGGATGCCTGTAGACTGAAGGACTGCTGCTTCAGGAACACTTGGGTTAAACTTGTATTCATGGGTCACACAAGGAATCTCCACAGTATTTAGACTAAAAAACTTGATGAAACACTGGAAAAAGGATTGAGTGTTTAGCTCCAAACAAAGCCAAAGTTACATCTCACTTCTGGGCAAGCTCGTGGCTAGTACAGGCTACAAGGGCCCCTAAAGAGTGGAAGTGAACAGTTATCTATTCTGTGTGTGAGAGTAACTGACTGCTTTAGCGTTAGAGTCCTCTGATGGAAATGCCCTGTCTGTAGGAGCTCCACACTTCAGCCTGGAGCTCACAGAGCGGAGCAGGATTCCTCTGTGTGTGTACAGCCCATCCCTCACCCAGACCGAGCACACACACACTCACACTCACACACACACATTGTGCCAAGTGTCTAATGTCCATTTGTCCATGCGGAAAGTGGAGACAGTGATTGTCCAACAGTTCCTATAGCTTCCTCTGCCTCTTCCTCTGCCTCTTCCTCTGCCTCTTCCTCTGCCTCTTCCTCTCTAGTTTCCTGTGTAGTTTCCTCTGAGAGAAGCCCTATCTCGTGTTCTGTCCTAAACCTTGTGCATGTTGTCTTGTGTTTGCAGAGTAACCTGCCATCCATCCCGAGCTGGAGCTGTTGTGGTGGTGTAGTTGGAGCAGCGCCCTCTGCTGTTCATGGACTGCCTGGTGTTTGGCGTGTGCGTGGGGACAGCACACACACTGTAAATGTGCTGTACAGACTCATACACTCATGTTTGTACCACACAAAAGATTCCCCTCATGATCCACTCATCATGTCTGTCCCACAAAAGAAGAGACTCTGGCCTGCACAGGCTGCTGTTTGCTGTAAATATCTTCACTTGTTGCATTGTTGCATTGCTATGCAAGCCTCCTTCAGTTTGAGCTTTGGTTTCCATGGGTTACTTGTACTATATGTGAAATGAGTGGCTGTCGTGCCAGAAGATCATTGTTTTATAATCCACTGTCTGTTCAGAGGTACTTTGAATTATTATCATTATTATTATTGTTATTATTATTAATTATTATTAATTATTGTTTTTGCACTGCAACTTTTTGGTGATAAGCACAAACCTAGCTCCTGCTGACATGAAGAACTGAGATGACATATGTGACGAGGAGTTCTGTACTGTAAAGTAAAGATTATGAATATACTAATGTACAGAGAGATATTAAAGAGAAAGCACCCACTGTTTCCATGGAGAGGGGACGGGGTCACTGAGGGTCAGAGGTCAGGGGTCAGGCTGACTCACCCCGGGTCTAGTTCAGTTCTGTTTCTGTAAAGAGGGACATGTTTTTGGATGGTCCGCTGCTCCACTGCTCCTGGTCAGAGGCCCAGAGGAGGAGGAGGATGGGTCAGTGTACAGTAGTAGTACTCTGTGTAGTACTCTGTGTGACACAGTAACATCCACATGGACTTTAGAGCAATATGAACCCAGCACACACAGGCTGCTGTTTGCTTTGTGATCAAAGCCATTCCATCTCAGAACTTCAGAATGACTCAGGTTTAACGCAATCAAAACTTTCACTGCAGACTGTTGGACCTGTCATGTATCACAGGACACATGCAGCACACTATGGAACCTTTCTGGTGGAGATTATGCCATCCTCTTGTCGCCATGGAGATGCTGTTGCTTTGCCTTGAATGTTCCGCAGTGTGACATAAAACATATCTATAACTCACCACAGATCCTTGGACTGCTCTTCACAGTTCTCACCTGTAATCTGTCCCTGAAGCGTTTCCATGGAGATAAGCATCAACATCTCTGCCAGAAATGTTACACAGTGCAGCTTTAAATGAAATATGCAAAAATAGCACAACTCAGTATTGTCTAATCTATAGCAAACCATCATAACAATAAACGATAAAGGACGGGTCAAACGCACAGAAGTGAGAAGGGCATCTGTTTTAAAAGACTTTGTGACTTTTTCTGAATCCAACCCACCAGCAGAGGGCGCACTCCATTTTCATGTGCACTTAAAATGAGGCTACAACAATAGTTGCCAGCATTAAAGTCTAATGACCCCAATTTAAGCAATGCAATGACCTAGAACGGCATTACAAACACTAAAAATACATCTAGAACACCACCTGATGACATCATAAAGTGGGACCAAGCATTTTGAGCCCATCTAACTCCTCTTCCTCAGTACTGGTGTTTCACACAGACCCAACAGCAGCAGTGGAGCAGCATTTGTTTACATTGTTTATTTTTTGTTAAATTATAAAAAAAAGAAAAAAATATTCATCTTGGAGCACTTATGTCTTATGTTGTGTGTATTTCTAAATTGGGTAAAACAAGCCATCTGATTGGTTGTAGACCTGCTGACCCCGCCCACACCATAATATTAGCACAGATTAGAAGAATATGGGATGAATAATGAGAAATGTTTATGGATTTTGATGTAGCCAAGGCCCAAACTACGGTGATCAACGGGAAGTTAAAGAGCACGTTTCACTGCCGCCACAAGCTGAGCTCACAAAAATACTCAAAATACTTTTCTATACAGCCAGATCATGAATTCTTTTATAATATTTGTCTTATTTGTAAAAGTAATATATAAAGGACATATAAATACATATTGTAGGTCAGGTTGCCATTGGAAACCATTTAATCGCCAACTAACAATACCGAATGAAAGGTTGTAACTAATATTGTACTTCTAAAAGCCATATAAATAATACATTAAAGGATCTGGTTGGAGACAGATGGAGAAGTTGGCTGAACTAAATGAGTTTTGGAATGGTAACTTAAGACACGCAAATCCGTTAAACTAAGAAATCTGAAGTGCATATGACAGGTTAGAATACGCATTCATGTTTAAGATTTGATTTTAAAATGTTGCCCAGATTTTTCTACTGTTTTGTTTTGTGAAGTTTATAATGTTACTTCCAGCAGATATGACATAAGCAGAGGTGATTAAATAACTGCTGCTGGTCTTTCAAATAGGACAAGCTCATGGTATTTTTTTGTACTTTTACATTCTGTTGTCTTGTTCTGGTCTTTTTTCTAATATTTTAATTAATGGTATAAAATATATGGAATTAACACCGTTGTGTACTTACAAATAAAACGTTCTGCATTTTCTGTAGGCTTCCACAACTACTGAACCAGGCCCAATGAGAACTGAGCCAATCTAAACTGTATTGTATTGGAATAGACACTGTAATCACAAAGGTTCAGTCAGTGCAGTGTTAAGTGTCAAGTAAAAGACTGTTACCTAGCAACCATGATGTAAACAAGAGCAGAAAATGTCTACACTGCACTATAGTTATGGTTTGACCAATGAAAAAGACAACAACAACTTTATTTAGGTAAATGAAGGTTTAAATCAGAGGTCATCAAACTAAGGCCCGTGGGCCAACTCTGGCCCTCCACGCTCCTTTTACTGGCCCCCACCACTTGAACTGGCCCTTTGAGGCCGTCTTCAAAAGTGTCATGGCCTATTTTTTATTTATTTTTATTTTATTTTTTTACTTTTTGGCAAATAGTAAATCAAATCATGATTTTTTCAATAAAAAATATATATCCATATGAATTATTTATATTCAAATAATTATATGATGTATTTACATTTGCCGCCAAATTTGCCGCTGAATTTCCATCACCTGACAAGGTCGAGATCAGACAGTGACAGTCAACATGTGCACAGAGTACTGTAGTACAGAGTTCTGTAGTACAGAGTACTGTAGTGCAGAGTTCTGTAGTACAGAGTACTGTAGTGCAGAGTACTGTAGTGCAGAGTACTGTAGTGCAGAGTACTGTAGTACAGAGTACTGTAGTGCAGAGTACTGTAGTGCAGAGTACTGTAGTACAGAGTACTGTAGTACAGAGTACTGTAGTGCAGAGTACTGTAGTGCAGAGTACTGTAGTGCAGAGTACTGTAGTACAGAGTACTGTAGTGCAGAGTACTGTAGTGCAGAGTACTGTAGTACAGAGTACTGTAGTACAGAGTACTGTAGTGCAGAGTACTGTAGTGCAGAGTACTGTAGTACAGAGTACTGTAGTAGTACAGTAGTACTGTAGAGTACAGAGTACTGTAGTGCAGAGTACTGTAGTGCAGAGTACTGTAGTGCAGAGTACTGTAGTGCAGAGTACTGTAGTACAGAGTACTGTAGTGCAGAGTACTGTAGTGCAGTTAAGAACAGCAAAATGGCTCATGTTAAAGTAGGAAAATTTGACAGAGAATCCAGAGTTTTCAAAGAACAGTGGATGACAAATTATTTTTGTGTTCAGTGTAAGAAGTGTGCAGTTTGTCTGATTTGGCGGATGAAAGGCGGACTGGCTGCTCAACATCAGGTATTCCTTCGTTGGTCAGAAGTGATAATGTGGACCCCAGAGAAAAAGTTTGGTGACCCCTGGTTTAAATAGTTAGAAAAAGTCTTTCCTTTTTTGGACAGTTTTCAGTGTTGGTGACACAGGTAGAGGGATTCTGTTTTACAACTCTGTGCTGCTCCCTTTATTTATGTTTTCTTTTCTTTTTTTTCTTCAACTTTTTCCTCCACAAACAGCCACTGAACCAGGGATGGGCAATTTTTTATTTGTAGTTTTTCCATGGGGTCGCATGAAAAACAAAAAATATTGTGGAGGCCAAAATGCTGAACTCAATTCTGCATAATATGAGTTGTATTTCTTTATAAAAAGCAGTAAATAGCATTGTTCTGACAAGCTGCTCGGACTGGGAAGAGTTTATGTTCTGACAAAGCAATGAAAAATCAGGCTGACTTATAAAAAAAAAAAAAAATGTCATTAAAATATCCTGAACAAAGCCCAGATTTGCACTGAATTGAAGTAAAACTATGTTAAATATTGAGCACAGGTATTATCCACCAACACAAGCCAGAATTAGGAAAAAAATAAAATAAAAATCTGTCATATGCACTTTAAGAATTAGTTTTTGTGTTAAGATGAAATTCTACTAAAATGTTGTCACTAATATTTCTACATGTTGTTGTCACTTCTCAGTTGCTTCTCAACCGTCCCAGACACAGATGGATTTGATCATGCAATAACTCATCAATGTTTATAATATTTATGAATTATTTATTGAATTTCATATTTATTTTAATCCTCTTGAGAGTATTTTTGAATACAATTTTTGAAACATTTTTGTGAATTTGTGAACGCTTTCGCAAATTTGTAGGTTTTTAAGGCAGGTGCCATTCCGGTCACAACCAGCCATACATATTACTGTGACCGGAGTGGGCGTGGTGGGTCAGGTGTCTTGCCCGATGACACAAAGGCAGTACGGTTTGAATTGGTAATGGGTGAACACCGGACAAACGATTTATGTACAATTTGAGAACACGCAATTTGAGAAATGACAACAATTTACATTTAGAATTGGTTAGAATTTATTTTAAATCAAACTTAAAAACGCTGTACCTGATTTTTTACCGTCGTGAAAATGTAAAAAAAACAGAATTAGCTCAGTTTCAAGTGGTCTAAAGTTATTTCTCGTTTACCTTTCTAATTATTCACCACGATGAGTTCATGAGCACTTTTCACAACTCTATAAGATCAGAGCGAAGTTTTTCTATCAACAACTAGCATTCTAATGACCACTTCCTGATTACCGGACAATAACATTTTGAATTTGACATAAAAACAGTTTGCAATGGTCTTATTTTGACCTCAAGAGCTGCTTGTACAATATATCTGTACTGGGGCAAGTCAAGTTTTGCACGAATACATGAAAAAATCAGGTACAAGGTGTTTAAGATCATAAAAAAGAAAGGTATTTTTGAAA